ATAACCCTGGAAATAAAAGAACCACAAACTACACAGGCTCTCTGAACCAAATAACATTCTCAACCATAATCCTGGATGAAAATAAACATTATTTTATTGCTGTAGTGATTGGGAGCATTAACCTTTCAGAGAAACAGTCATATTACTTGAAGAATACAAGTAATACAGGCAGTCCTCGCACTTACAGTGGGTTACATTCCTGGAAAAGGTGCTATAAGTTGAAACGATGTAAGTCGAATCTGATTTTCCCATAGAAAAAATGTTAGGGGTGTTTTTTATAGAAATCAAGGAACATAACCCCCTATTATAACATTGTTTCTATGGGAAAATCAGATTCGACTTACTGCATTGCACTTTAGAAAGCTTTTAAATTAACTATTTAATCAGCTATAAATGATATACACTGTACAAAGCTTTCTGAAGTGCAATGCAGTAACTAAGGGAGGCACTGGGGCCGGCATGGGACACTTACTGAAGGTAAGATCTTCAGTCCCAAAGCGGGGCAGGCAGCGGCTCCTCCCTGAGGTGAGGTGAGGCAAAGGCAGGGATAGGGGCTGGCGCGGGCTCTGCCAGCTCTGGGGAACTGCTCTGCTCCCCAGCCCTGATGCCATGTGCCTCCTCGCTCCCTGAGGTGATGCGGAGCCCCTAGAGCAGTTCCCCAGAGCTGGCGGAGCCTGCACCAGCCCCCATCCCCACCTTGCTATGCCTCTGGGAGCGAGGAGGCACATGGCGTCAGGGCTGAGAAGCGGAGCAGTTCCCCGGTGCCAGCTTCCAGCCCCAGCTCCCATCCCCATCTTGCCTCCGGGAGTGCATAGCCTCAGGGAGGAGCCACTGCCTGAGCTTACCTCTGGTAAGTGTCCCACGCCAGCCCCAATGCCTCCGCCGTTCCCTGCCATAAGTGAGAGGATCAGCGCCCTAAGTAATAACAGGGGTGTAAAATGCGGATTGCCATAAGTCAAGGACGGCCCGTATTCAAAAAGATTTTGAAATGTCTTTTAAAATAATGTGTTAGTTTGAATAAGTCATTCAGGGCACTGTGAATATGAATATCTGTTTACAGTACTTCTGTTTCCTACCAGTTGTATTATATGACTGAATGTATGCTCTTGTATTAGTTTGCTTACTATCAAGTTCAAGGATGTGGTTCAG